TCTCTCTCTCTCGATAACGTGAATTGGAGGAAAAGAAAAGTCAACTTGCATGCCACATGTTCTCACCGATTGTCAAGTTGGCAGGTAGTACAAGCAAGAAGCCTAAGCGTATCAATTTTCCACGTGGGCAGTGACAGTTGACTATGATGTTATTAATTTGTCCCCAGTCCGTTTGCTCCCGATCCCAATATACCCTTTGTAGCCATGTATTTACAAAAACCTCCCTTAAAGTTTTTAACAATCATAAAAATTTATTTTGAATTTTTAAAGAATTTGACAAAAACCTCCCTTCCGGCAATGGTCTAAATAGAAAACGTCATATCGATGCATCTATTTGTTCCAAATACCCATTTTACCCTTTTGCAAATTAATTTGTATAAATATTCTTATCGACCTGTTATTCTGTTTTCCTCTCCGACAACCTCTTTTTTCCTCTTTCCTATCCCTGGAATTCCACTGTATGAAAAGGAGGAAGGCAACAACTCTTTCAATCTTTCAATCCAAATCCAAACGGAACACAGCTCTTTCAGTTTTTTCCTTGCCAATAGGAGGTTCTCTGGCTATAGAGAAGGGCCATGGACCGCACAAGGACTTTGGTCACAGACAGGCTACGGAAGAAGCTATGGATCTGATGATGGACTTCCAGGAGCTGAGGTAGCAGATGGTGGCAAAGTATAAGGAGATGGTTAGCCACCAATTTTTCACGGTAACAAGCGAGTAACCGGAGAAAGAGGTGATGGAGAAGATTGTATCGAGTGGGGTAGGAATGGGGGAGCTACTGCAAAGGGTGGCGTAGGAGCACAAGAGGGGGGAAAGTTCTTGAGATAGTGTTGGAGATACAAAATAGGCACGACGCAATTAAGGAGATCGAGAAGAGCCTTCTTGAGATAGTGTTCCTGGACATGGCGTGATGGTGGAACCTCAGGGGGAGCAGTTGGACGACATTCAACACTATGTCATGATTGCAACTGGGTATGTGAAGGACGGGACATGCGACCTCAGGACTACTAAGAACTATCAGAAGAGCAGCAGGAAGTGGATGTGTGTGGGGTTGATTCTACTCCTGATTCTCATCGTTTTGGTCGTCATTCCTATCGCCACCAGTTTCAGTCATTCCTAAAATGCTAAAATCTTTATTTCAATTTTTAAGGCTGTTGTTTATTTTGATTTGTTGACTTGCATTTCTTTTATGATGTGGGGGATGGGGGGAAGAAGGCATTTCTCCTGTTCCTTCATCTATTTTAACATGTATGAGGGCAGGAAGGTGTACAACAGAAATGTCATAGCATCTGAACTTGAGATGATGAATAGTATATAAATATCAAGTTAGGGAACACCTTCCGGTCAAGTATAGTCTCCGGTGAAGAACAATTGCCAGAAAAATGGATGGAATATCCTGAAAAAATGGAAATAGCGCCACTACAACTGTAAGGGTTTACATTCTTTTGATTTCATTTTGCTGACAAGAAAACAACAAATGTGAATAAAATGATAGATTGAGGGCAAATAAGGTATTTTACAAACTCATCGAATGATGTTTTAAGGGTAATTTCATAAATACAGGCGTTTTCCGTCTAAACCATTGATAGAAGGAAGGTTTTGTTCGAATTCTTTAAAAATCCAAGGAAGATTTTTGCTAAAGTAAAATTATAAGGGAGGTTTTTATAATTATCATAAACTTCAGGGAAGGTTTTTATATTTTACCCTTCTTTTTATGTGGGCCAGAAAGGAAATACATGGTACTGGATGAGCTTATATTGAAACATACCCTGTGAATTATGTTGTAAGTTTTTTTGGATAAATTACAAAGACACCCCTTGTACTATGGGGTCTGTGACAAAGACCCCTTATACTTTGTTTTGTGACAAAGATCCCCCTTGTACTCTGACCATGAGGCAAAGACCCATTCTATTAGCTTTCCGTTAAAATCTGCCATTATAATATTTTTAATCCCCATACTATCCTTCTAAGAAAAACAATGTTCATCCTTCTAAGAAAAACACTGTTCATCTTCTTCGACCTCACAATTCCCTCCTCTCAACTTTGCCATGGTCGACAGTGGCGTCTTCCGTTCTAGATTCCAGACACAACAAACTTCTAAGAAAAACACGTCGGTGTTGCCAATGCCGACGGGGACACGCAGTTCACTCTGATCCCGTGCTTACCAACTGGCCGACCGCACTAGCCCCAGCATTGCGTGTTTCGACATGACGTAGTCGGTGTAGTTCTCGACTCCGCTGGTAACAACCACACTCGTCATGCACACGATGCTCCCCTTGACGCCTATATCCACTATGGATTGCATGGCGTGCTTCACGCAAGCGGCCATTCCCCGGACGTTTACGGCGAAGAGATGATCACAAGCAGTTAAATCAAGGTCCAGGATACCCTGGTGGTTGTTAAAGATACCAGCGTTGCTGAACATGATGTCCAGGTGATCGTAGCTTCAAACCGTCCGTTCCACAAAGGACTTGATTTGATCTTCATCGGTGACGTTGCAGTGAATATAGATACACCTGCTTGTGCCAATAGATGCGGCGACCCGCTGGCCCAGTTCGTCTTGGACGTCGGCGATGACGATGAAGGCAGACATGATCAACGAAGAGGTGTGCAGTGGCCTTCCCGATGCCGCTGCTTGTACCTAAAGCCATCGATGAGATTTTCTATAAATAAAAGAACACGCACAAGTACTTCATTTAGAGGGAATCGTTTGTTTTTTGTTTTTTGGGTTTGGACTTGGGACTGAAGGCACCAAAGTCAGTCAGACCTACAGTCGCGTCCTTTCATCTTTGTTGCCTGCCCGGCTGCCCCCCCTCTCTTTCAGAGAAAGAACGGCGTGCAATGAGGAGGATTTTTGTAGTAATCATCTCGTTTTGAAACCGGAGGAAGCAGGGCTGGTCGATCTCATCTACCTTCTATTGCCCTCTAGGCTCTGACCTAGAGAATAGAAGATTTGTGGAATACTTGGAAGAAACGAGCATAACAGAGTTCAACGTCGATGGCACATTTTCATCTCTATCCTTTTACAAAAAGTTCTGCTCTCAATAGCTAAGCCCATGTCTTGGGTTGGTTCGCTGTTTGAGAAATGGCTTAACCTTTTGTCAAGCAACCGGGATTTGGTCGTGCTCTTCCATTACCGTTAAGCTCTATGTCATCTTTTGCTCGATGGTGAACAAGTTGACCCTGTTAGCTTTGAAGTTCCCCGCAGTGTGTTGTTGTTGGTGATACGACGCGCTGGAGGCGTATAGGCTTCTCCTGAAACTTGCATATCGTCTTTGCCCGATGCCAAGGGGTCCATTGCGCCCCAACAGAGCTCCCGCTTCGAGCCATCATTCTCTTGCCATCCCCTTTGCCGGAGTGCGGTCGGCCAGTCAGTATCTTGGTAAGCACGGGATCAGAGTGAACTGTGTGTCCCCGTCGGCGTTGACAACACCGATGTCAATTAATTGACATCTCTCCCCAAGTTCGCTGTCTGGGATTCCAGAATGGAAGACGCCACTGTCGATCATGGCAAAGTTGAGAGGAGGGACGAAAATCTCTTCCCCTTCTTTGTCGATGTCTCCTTCGCTGATTGGATTACTGTCGCTGCTACTATTCCTGTATTGTGAAGTCAGGGAAGACAAAACAGTGTTTTTCTTATCAGGGTAATATGGGAATTAAAAATATTATAATGATAGATTTCAATGGAAAACTAACGAAAGGGATCTTTGTCTCACGCTCATAGTACAAGTGAGGTCTTTGTCGCAAAACAAATTACAGAGAGGTATTTGTCATAGTAAAGGGGTCTTTGTAATTTATTATTTTTGTATGTGCACGTGAGTACAAGTGTGAAAGGAATCTTATAGTTATAGATTCTCTTTGAATTGTTTGACTTGTGGGTCCGTGTTTAGAGGAACTCCCGTTTAAGTCAGAAGATGTTCGTCACTCGTTACGTCAACATCTCGTTAAGAACTTAACATTTTGCTTTGTTCATTCAAAGGAAAGAGTCAGTGTACGAGCATGGACCAGCCTATACGATCAACAGACAACGCTGCAGTACCTGCAGTACAAAAACTGAAAAGAGTGTTGTAGCTAGCCAGGTAGTGTCAGCGTAAACCAGCCAGGGTCAGTGAGTTGCAGAGTAAGATTTGCCAACTGGTCCGTTTCTTTGTCTAATCAAGTACGAACCCTTCTCCCCTACCAACACAACGACTTTACTTTCGCTGTTCAAATTGGTCCCACTCAAACACAAAACATTGGGGCCCAAGCCCCAAAATGAGGTTCATTGGTTGCTAACCGGATTCCAATCCAACGCCTAAAATTTCAACCTCGACATTAAAGAGGTGCTGTGCAGTTAAATTGCGTTTGACGTTTACAACCTACGTAACTTCTAAAACGCCATCCATATTCTGTTTATTTACAAGAATATCGCAAGCTCGTCAACCTTGTCGTGATCGTCGGTGTTTTATTTGAACGGTTAATAATATTCAACAATGCCATTCCAAGTCTCCAACTAATTAAGAAAATGGACAATGCCATCCAGCTGAGCTAGGCAATGTATCGGTTCATTTAACCAAGGCAAACTTGATCCCCAAGTCCTTTTTTTTTTTTAATGTTTTTCTGCTTTTTGCTTTTTGTTCTAGTTCCTCCTGCCTGGAGAGTCGAGACACACTACGCCGCCTTACAAATTTTACCATCTGGAAGAACTAATTCCACAATTACTAATCTACCCCCTAATATAGTAGTTTCCTGCTCAATAATTTATTAATAGGATTAAGGTCATTTTAGCCTTTTTAAATCCTAAGGCATCACGGTCCACGGATGAGTGTGAATATTAAAATATTAAAATATCAGCGCAGACGTGTTGGCATCGTTCTTGTGTTAAGAACATTCGTGGCTGCCACGTCATCGATCAGAACTCTTTTCCACAACTCTTAACACGCGAGGCTGTCTTGCACTGCTCCTGTTGCCTATAAATACAATCCGTCGTCCTCGTGGAGAGCCATACACAGTCGCCACCTTTTCCTTATAAAGAATTTCCTGATTTAATTTGCTTCTTTGCTGATTAAACTCTTTTCTTCCTTCAATGATCATGACGATGAAGAGTTCAAAGTTGGTGGGTCCGCTTCTGAAGCAGCTGGGTCCTCGTTTCTTCTCTTCGGTCACCACAGGTGCTATGATCAACGAGCCGGTGAGAGGAATCCTCCTGATCAGAACTGCTACCTTCCACCGTGCGGGTACGTTGCCGGTGCCGGGTGTGCGAAACGGAAGCACAGTGGCCTTGGGCAATACTGAAGTTCAGGAGAAAGAGCTCCCGAACAGCTCATTAAACGGTGATGGTCAGGACAAAAAGGGTTTCGTGAGCTATTGGGGCATTCTTCCAGCACAGGTCACCAATGAGGACGGTACGGTGTGGAGGTGGAATTCGTTCAGGGTACGTTCCTTTTCCTTTGCCTGAGCCCGACGATATGTGAAAGTAAATACACTGGCCATCTGCCGTTAATGTCACTGAATTAAAGGAAAAGGCGGGCGTCAGCTAATGGAGTCAATTTAGGGCTATTCATCCAAACCGAGCAACCCGGTCTGATCCAATTCGAGTTGGCCGGTTTTTCTTCAGTATCAGTCGGTTTGGTTTTCGTTTTAAAGTGTGAAAATCGAAATCGAATTGACCCAAACTGACTTAGATATATATTATGTATAATATATTTTAGATATTATATATATATATATATATATTTCAGCTTTATTTCAGAAATATACATATTATATTATAAAATATCATTTTTAATCCATCAAATCATTTTTAATTTTCAGGCATCCAGCCTTTGTTTTCTTAGACTTGAATCCTTTACCGTTCACACCGAGAGAATCATTCACAAAACCGATCCAAACCAACCCAATCCTGATTCAAACCGACGAAGTCGGTTTTACTTAATACTGGGTCGGCTTCGGTTTCATTTCTAGGTAAACTGACCAAGTTGGATTGATTGAAAAAACGCCAATAAACCAATCCAACCCGACCTGTGAACAGCCCTAGGAGTCATTTGTAATGACCACTTGACCAGGAACCTCTGACGTGGCAATATTTATAGTTGGGGCCCAAAAGTGAAGGAACCCACATGTTTAACCCAAAAGTGTCCTTCGGGCTTTGGGAGAATGGTCAAAGTTGACATGGACATCATCCCTCCTGGTTTCCTAGTCGACCCGATTAGGAAACCTTCTTCTTCTTCCTCTTCTTGTTTGGATGGATTTACATCTATCTATTGATTCAAAAGAAATTTGTCCGTCGATTTAGATGTCCGATTTTCCATAATATCGATTTGGGTATTTTGTTTGTTCTCTAATTTTGATTTTTTTTTCTCTTTCATTGTTTTCTATAATAAAGCCATGGGAGACTTACCAAGCGAACCTGTCAATCGATCTGAAGAAGCACCACGAACCAAACACGTTCTTGGACAAGGTGGCATACTGGACCATCAAAGCCCTCCGAGTCCCAACAGACATTTTCTTTCAGGTAAATAAATTTGTGTTTTTCCTAATTATAAATAATTTCTTATTTTAATTAAATACTTCAAAGACAACCCATAATAAAACTTCTTATTATTTGATCTTTTTTTTTCTCACATTATCGATCGGGGACATGTTACAGGAAAGATTTCTTATATCATGATCATCCACTCGTCCAGTTTGAACGAGTTTGATAGATAACTCGGACGATTTTGAGTAAGTCTAAAGTCCGAGTGGTTTTTGAATTGAAAAGGTCTGAGTCACATGGGCAATATTCTATTATTAAGTTGATATTGCTGCAATCTTGCATCAAAGACGAAAATTTCCTTTTCTTTGATCCCTAATTTTATTCACAGAGGCGATACGGGTGCCGCGCGATGATGCTAGAGACCGTGGCTGCTGTTCCAGGAATGGTTGCAGGGATGCTCCTGCACTGCAAATCACTGAGGCGGTTTGAGCATAGCGGAGGTTGGATTAAAGCTTTGTTAGAAGAAGCAGAGAATGAACGAATGCACCTAATGACGTTCATGGAGGTTTCACGGCCCAGGTGGTACGAGAGAGCTCTGGTTTTTGCGGTACAAGGTGTGTTCTTCAATGTCTACTTCCTTGTTTACTTGATATCGCCAAAGCTCGCACACCGTGCCGTGGGCTACCTGGAGGAGGAGGCAATACACTCCTACACTGAATTCCTCAAGGAATTGGACAAGGGCACCATCGAAAACGTGCCGGCTCCGGCCATCGCCATCGACTATTGGCGCTTGCCAGCAGACTCAACCCTCCGAGATGTTGTGTTGTCTGTAAGAGCCGATGAGGCACATCACCGCGACGTCAATCACTTTGCTTCGGTAATAATCTTGACATTAGCTGTGTCTTTACAGAGAGTTGAAGGATTAAATAACTGATTGATTGCTTTATGTGTAATTTTGTATTGCAGGACATACACTACCAAGGACATGAGCTGAGGGAAGCTCCTGCTCCACTTGGATATCACTAAAATCTCATAATACTTTGGAATCTTGGATGGAGGGACGATGGTATCTATAGTTCAGTTGAAGCTGAAGGATGGTATTTTCTGTCTCTTAAATATAAATAAAAGCAGATCCGTTAATGAGTTTTTTATCCAAGTTCTACGTTGTAAATATATATTATGACTAAAGGATGTAACTATGTAAGGACTTGTTGTTTGACGACTCCCCAATGGCAAATAGTATTGGTCTAATGGTCTCCCATTAATTGACGATTCCCTCCACAAACTGCGAAATTGTTTATTCTATAGTAACTTGTTTTTCATGTTATAACAAACTGGTTTACTGCAACAATTAATCAGTGGGCCATGTTTGGGCTATTAGCCCAACCCAGAAGCTAGATACGTGGAGTCCAGATTGACAAGAGCAAATTTATCTAAATCCATATGTAAGCAAGCCCTAAGGGTGCGCCCATATGTAAGAAACTTTGCAACTAAGGTCGAGTTTGGATTTAAAACTGTTTTGGCTTTAAATTATAATGTTTCTGAAAAGCAATTCTTACCAAATGCTCAAACCACTTTCTTTTTATAAGTTTCCTGTCCCCAAAGTTCATAAACAAAAGCTTAGCCAAAAGGGACCTAAATCATAAATGTCACAAGCTGAGGATCAATATTGTTTGGTGGCTGATAGGGTTCACCCCGAAACTCCGGTAAGGCGTTCCCAACTTGCTTCGCTACAGCCATGTACTCTCTGTAGCGTTCCTTATCTGTAGAAGCACTTCCATCCGATTTTTCAAAAATTCTATTAATGACGTTCTCGTACGTCTTGTTTGTTTTATCAAAACACCAATCTCCAGTTCGCCAGTCGAACCGGTACAATGGAAGGAACCGGTGACCGTACAGTGCAACTAACTCGATTGCATCCACCACAAATTCCATCTCTTCCGTTGACGTATAGTAGCTGAAACTGACCCTTGTCCATCCCGGCTTTACTCCCTCATATCCCTACACAACAATAATAAGTAGCCCAGATTTGGACTGTGAGCCCAATCCAGTTCAAAGTGAATTTGAAGCCAAACTGGGCCGGTTGGGCCCCCATTAAGAGTGAAAACACTACCTTCTCGACGGTGGAACGGATTAGCTCTGCTCGATCCCTACTGATATGAAGAAGCACATGTCCGTATGGTCCAGCACACGCACAACCCCCACGTGCTTGGATCCCAAAGACGTCGTTCAAGAGCTTGGTGACGAATCGGCAATGCAGATGTTTCCCACGTGCAACATTGGGGTAGATTAGGAATGAAACAATTGGTTGGCGTTGCACGCTCATGTTACCGAGGATATGCACATTAGGATTCTTTAACAGCCTCTCAAATGCTTTCTCTATTAGTATGGTCTCTTGACAGCAAATGAGCCCACCATGGCCCATGAAGAAATCCTTCACACGGAATGCCAGCGCTGCACGTATCTTCTGCACGATCCCTGGTGTACCTGCATCCTCTCGCTCTTCCAAGTCCTCCGAGTAGAGGGTGTCCTGTAATAAATGGCACCAGTAGTGGGCCTGTAATAAATGGGCTATAGCCCCAAGAAATGTAATTGAAGATGTGATCAAAAGTCAAATTTCTTACTTCATCATCATAACCGTTGACATAGCGTACAGTTCCACCGCCGCTTGTGGAAGGAGGGTTGCCATTGAGATGGTAGAGATCCTTGCTCATGACCAGGATACCTGGGCTTCCTGGGCCTCCAATGAACTTGTGTGGGCTCAAGAAAACAGCGTCGTACCCATCGATTTCACCCGTTTGCATTTGGATATCAACATAAGGCCCACTGAATTTAAAGGCCCAATTGGAAATATTCTCATTAGATTTAAACATAACAAATTACAAATTGTGTGTATTGGGCCAATCCATACCGGCTGGTTAATGATTATAGGTGAACATACCTGCAAGCGAAGTCGAAGCATGCATAAGCGCCATGTTGGTGCAGCACCCGAGCAAGCTGCCGAGTATCGGCATATATTCCGGTGACGTTGCTGCAGGCGGAGAAAGACCCAAGTTTGGGCCTTGCTGAATATTGAGGAGATTGGAGTGCATCCACCAAGGAAGAAATGTCTGCAAGTCCGGATTCGTCGACTCCGATCTCGACGACATCAGCTAGGCTCTGGCGCCAGGAGAGCAGGTTGGAGTGGTGCTCGTAGGGGCCTGTGAAAATGACCCATCTCTCGGAGTCTGGTAGACAGTTTACAAACCTTGAGCGCAAGACCGATGGGACGGCAATGCCTATCACCTCCTGCAACCGCTTAACGGCGGCGGTGGTTCCGGAACCACAGAATAAAAGAGCGTCGTGAGGCCCAGCACCCATGCAATGCTTGATGTATGTAGAGGCCTGATGAACTAGCTCACTGGTATGGAGGCCAACATAACTATCCACTGTGTGAGTATTGCCTGAGATCGTAAACAGAAACACATCAGACATTATAGATCGGCCCTACAACGTGAAGGCAAAAGGACTGAGTCAACTGACCATAAAATGGAAGAACCTCTCTCCCTAGGAAATCCTCAACAAATCGGAGTAACCTTCCTGAAGCCGTGTGGTCCGAGTAGGTGATGCGCCGACGTCCAAATGGTGACTCAAATTCTGCCTCGTCACCGATGATTTGCGACTTCAACCAGTCACACAAGCTTCGTCTGGCTTGTTTGTCGTCTTTGATCTCCGGTCCAATTCTCAAAGACGCGAATATGTTGTTCTCAACCTCAACGGCCTTCTTCTTGTCTTTGTCTTCTTCGGTAGGCTCCGGACTGTCCACTGGCCTGATCAAAGCATGTTCCTGTGGTGCGTGAGGATGGCGACCTGGCACGGATGGAGGACAAAGCAGGAGAGAAGACATTGTAGGTGAAGATATATACAAGGGTTAAGACTAAAATGGGTGATGAATTGAAGAAAAGGAAATGGAGTAGAAAGCTGATGAGAAATGTGGACAATCAATTATCAATCTGGTTGGTTATGTTTTGTAGGAGATCAGAGTATGATCGATTTATATATATATAGAGAGAGAGAGAGAGGGTGAACAACATAGGAAGCGGCCTCTGAAATACATGGGCCATCTTTACCAAGTTTATTGATTTTAAAGGAAAAAAAGAAAAGCAGAAAGCGTGTTTCTCTTAATAGAACCGTAGCCTCAGTTTTGGCTTTAAATCGGTGAACTCAGGAAACAAATGGGCGAAGAGGTAAAAACCGCTCCAACATGGCCCTGCGGTGAGGCCAATAGGCTATGAGACAAGAACTAATTTCTAACCATTATTCAGTTGCACGGGATATACGGATATGGGCAGTTTCCGTCTTTTTAGCAAAAAGACAAAAGGCACCCCTGCACAGTGTTGCATCTGATTTATTATTTAAGGGTATTTTGGTACTTTCTCAATTACCATATGGGTATTATGGGCTAGCTCGTACTAGTAGTAATTAGCACTTTAGCAGTGTGCAAATCCATTTAATCAAAAACAGAGTGTGCCCAAAATGGGGAGTGCCAAGTAAATAATGATGTTTGAGGTATGACATAGTACGTCCAATCGTCTATTGCCAACTCAGCAAAGGTACTTCTTCGAAGTATGTATGTGGCGGAGACACGTTCAACCTTTTTCAAGTGTACGCTTTAGAGTTTAGGCTTTAGAGTTCAGACTAAGCCGATAAAGAGCACACCGTTTTATTTAATTGTTTAAGGCTTCCTGCTTCCTGTTCATATTTATGAGAAGATGATGAGGTGGCCTAATCGGGTTCGGATCAAACAATCAAGCAGATAAAGCCATATGAGAAGATCTATTTCATTTATTCATTCTGGATCGGGCTAGCTAATTGTTCAAACAGTCATTAATCTAATGGACCAGGACATCCTGCTTGTTGGCTAGCCATTTATTCACCTCCAAAACCACGTCAGTGGGTATGGGTTGGGCCTTTGCCATAATTCGAATAGGTCTGGCTTGAAAAGCCCGACTGCAAAACAGTGTAAAATGATTATTCGGGCAAACCCAAGTTGCACCCCTAATTTGGGTCAACTTGTGATCTTATAAAAACAAATAAAAATATAGAAAAATTATACATGTCTCTAACACTTCATCATACAAATAAAAAATAAATGTGATAAATGATAAATATTGTTATTATAAATGGAAATGACCAAAAATTAAAAAAAGAAAGGAATAAATGTAACCATGCCCTGTTAATCGGATCAAATGGTTTAATAATTCCATCAACTAGGTAATCATGTCTCATGAATCAATTCTTTGGTCATGTATCAATTTTTTGGTTAAATATCTCGTCATTTGGTCTGCTTCCAAGTGGTCGATGACTCAGAGGCCGAAGTGGAGAATCTTTTCTGTGGATGCCGATATGACTAGGCCAAGCTAGGGGCAGATTAGAGGCCGAGTTAATTGGGCCGAGCGGCAGGTTAGGTGCTGAACTGACTGGGCCGAGCTAGGCAAGTTAGATGATGAGCTGGCTAGGCCGACCTAGGCAGGTTAGGTGACGAGCTGACCAAAGTACCGAGCTGCCTATTAGGTGTCAAGCTGACTAGAGGGCCAAGCTGCCTGATGGTGAGCTGGATTGATTGTTGAACTTCGTAGTTCTTTAGAAACCTGCAATGAATCAATGTCAGAGGACCCGGGGTGGCCAACCCGGTGAGGTCGCTCCGATGCTTAAGTCAATACTCTCATAGTAGACTACGAGCTAAAAATCACAAAGTATGAGAGCTAGAATATGCTTACTTGCCCCCCTCATGTCATTGGGGTTGGTAACTTTATATAGGCATTGTTTGGCGCACCGCATCCGAGATTTTCGAGAAGTCGTCTAAGTGGTCTGAGATTCCTTGAGGCAACCGCCATGCACGTTGACCACCCTCCTGATCGTTTGGTACGTGGGCCAATTTCAAAGGTTCGTGGAAGTGTTGGGATATGCATGCCGAATTTGTCGGCGAGCACGTCTCGCAGGTTGCCAGGTCAGCGCCTGGGCCAGGCCGCCAGCTCGCACCTGGGCCTGGCCACCAAGTCGGTGCCCGTGCTAGGCCGCTAGGTGGGACACCATCAACTTGGCTAAGGCAAGTTGTTGCCTAAGTGGTTCCGGGAGTCACCTAGTTGTTCTGAAGTGCCATGTGTCACAATATCATTGGAGGGCCAAATCCGCCCTCATCATTTGCCCCCCACTCCCGAGCTGAAAGTAACTCGGCGAAGGGAGTAGATTTTCTCCTTTTGGCCTGAAATGACTAATTCGATGAGCTCGTAAGCGTCGATTCAATTCCTTAGGCTCTAGGAGCGACTTGCAATGCACTCTCCTTACCCTTGATTTTGCCCATGCTGAAGAGGCGACTGGGTCTTATGTGGTGCCGAAGTCTTTGCCAGTTCGGCACTTTAGCCCTTAGGTTCTGGAAGCGACTCGTAGTCCACTCTCCTTGATCTTTGATTTTGCCCATGTCAAAGAGGCGACTGGGTCTTATGTGGTGCCGAGGTCTTTTATCAGCTCGGCACCTTAGAGCTACGGTTGCGCTGCATCAGCCTCGTTAGTGACGTCGGTTACTCACTCCTACAAGAAGCTACTAGGAGCTCAACCTACGGGGGCAGCACTATTGACTTTAGGTTACCAGCTCGCACGGGAGCCTTGGAAGGCTCGATTGGTAGGGGCGTCCATGTAGTCTGTTGGTCGCCTACTCCTGCGGAAGCCATGAAGAGCTCATCTTTGTAGAGGGTACCTCGCGAAGAGAACTAATGAGGCTTTATCCGAGTTGAAATAAAGTTGGTAGGGCTGCTTAGTCTATTGGCCATCAACTTCCTACATAGTCTTTGAGTTCATAAAAAATGGAAACTAGAAAGTGAGAGCTTTTAGTTTCTAAAAGGTGAGAACTTAGCTTTCTGGAAGAAGAGGACTTAGCCTTTCGGAGGATGAGAACTTAACTTTTTATAGTGTTTCCCACAAACGGTGCCAATTGATGAATCAATTATTTGGTCATGTATTAATTTTTTTGCTAAGTACCTCGTCATTTGGTCTGCTTCCAAGTGGTTGATGACTTAGAGGCCGAAGTGGAGAACTTTTGCTGGATGAGGATCTGGGTGCCGAGGTGGGGGCAGATTAGGTGCCGAGTTAACTAGGCCGAGCTGGGCAGGTTAGGTGCCGAACTGACTGGGCCGAGCTAGGCAGGTTAGGTGACGAGCTGACTGGGCCGAGCTAGGTAGGTTAGGTGACGAGCTGACCAGAGTGCCGAGCTGCCTATTAGGTGCCGAGCTAACCAGAGGGTTGAGCTGCCTGATGGCGAGCTGGATTGATTATTGAGCTTCGTAGTTCTTTAGAGACCTACAAGGAATCAATGTCAAAGGACCCGGGGTGGCTAACCCGGTGAGGTCGCTCCGATGCTTAAGTCAGTACTCTCATAGTAGACTACGAGCTAAAAATCACAAAGTATGAGAGCTAGAATATGCTTTTTTGCCCCCCCCCCTCATGTCATTGGGGTTGGTGCCTTTATATAGGCATTGTTTGGTGCACTGCATCCGAGATTTCTGAGAAGTCATCTAAGTGGTCCGAGATTCCCTGAGGCAACCGCCATGCACGTTGACCACCCTCCGAATCGTTCGATACTTCAAAGGTTCGTGAGAGTGTTGGGATATGCATGCCGAATTTCTCGGCGAGCACGTCTCGTAGGTCACCAGGTCGATGCCTGGGCCAGGTCGCCAGGTTGGCGTTTGGGCTAGGCCGCCAGGTTGGCGCCTGGGCCAGGCCGCCAGGTGGGACACCATCAACTTAGCTTAAGGCAAGTTGTTGCCTAAGTGGTTCCAAGTGTCACCTAGTTGTTCCGAGGTGCCATGTGTCACAATATCATTGGAGGAACAAATCCGCTCTCATCAATGTCGTTTAACGAGTTCAGTTTGTGTTTGGATTGAAGGAAGATTTTGGTGGGATGGGGTGGAATGGATTAAGAAAGGGAAAATGGGTGAATATTTTTCATGTTCCATTTTTTTTTTGTGGCAAAAGGCAAAATAGTGGAAAAATCAGCCCTAATAACAATTATTAGTTAACTAAATACTTAATAAGACTCTTATTATTTTATATTTAGTATTAATTACTAAGTAATAAGTTTAATAATTTATTTTTAATTAATTACTAAATTATCTTTAATTGATTAGTATTTTTATTAATTGTTTCTTTTAATTTTAGTTATTAATTAATTATATTAATTTATTTTACTAAATAATTAATAACTTATTAACAGGTCACAAGTGTAATATTAACACTTAACAATACTTACAAGGACTGTGTTTTATTCTGTGTTTAACAAATTTCTCCCTCCTTTTTCCACTTGTTCCTTGCTAAAATAGAGTTTCCTAAGAATTGAGAACTACAATTTCACCTTTTTTTTTTCTTATCCCATCCACAAACCAAATAGAAAAAATGAAAAAAATGTTCGAAAACATTACTTTTTTTTTACTTCCTATCCCACGAACCCAACGGAATCCAAGTGATATTTTGCAGGTGAATGAGTCAACATTGGATCAGACCCGGGAATATGACCAGTTTTGACCAACTTGTTGAAGCATGGATTGAAAACAATGGGACAAATAGATAGGCCTTCTTTGGCTACTAAATTAAACATATGGAAGCATGTAACTGGTTTAGAGAAGGCTTCTCTAAAACGATCCAACTAGCAACAACATCGAGAGCCTTAAGTTTGGGTCCACAGGTAGACTTGAATGCCATATTTGCCACCTGTCAAAGGAATGCTTTGGCTTTGGCCTTTCGGCTCACCAGACTTGGGTTGGGACCCTAACAAACAACCTGTCAATATTCAAAGGATCAAACACACAACGACTGAAATGTGGCAGATGCACTTAATAATATCGGCCACATTGGAGCATGCTCGGGCACTCTGAATCTGAATTAACACGTACCAATTGATTTATAGTCAATAAAAAATCTAATCCCAGTGGGCACCCATCTCACGGACGGCTTGGATCTTAAGGTGTTTCCCCAAATACGGAAGCAAATGGTTGGGTTCAAGACTTAAAATTTTGATATGATAC